TTGTGATGGAGAAAATGTGGGTTTAAAATATTCTGGGTCCAGCGCTAAACCTTACTTCCATCTAGATCAATATTACTATAATAAACCTTACTTCCATCTAGATCAATATTACTATAATAAACCTTACTCCCATCTAGATCAATATTACTATAATAAACCTTACTTCCATCTAGATCAATATTACTATAATAAACCTTACTTCCATCTAGATCACTAATATTACAATAAACCTTACTTCCATCTAGATCACTATTACTATAATAAACCTTACTTCCATCTAGATCAATATTACTATAATAAACCTTACTTCCATCTAGATCAATGTTACTATAATAAACCTTACTTCCATTTGGATCAATAATACTATAATAAACCTTACTCCCATCTATGGAACTTAATTCTTCACGTTAATATTGGTATAAGTCTGTAGTTTCAATGATGCTTTAATTTGGCAATATTAATTCATCCAAGTGATTTGCTTTCTCATTACTCCAATGAAGGGAGTTCCTAAAACAAAAAACTCTGTTTTATTGTTACAGGTGCAGTTAAGTACATAGATTAAAATTCCTCATATGCACTCTCGACCCAGCGGCTCGACGGTAAAAAAAGAAAGTTCCCAGGGTACTCCAGGATCATACTTTCTGTCTCTCCTGGGACCACTTGCTTAGTTCCTGAAGTGAGAATCGATCGGTTCCTTCAGAAGCTGAGCTTCTCTGACGATTTTCTGAACGTTCTCAAAGTTCCTTCCCGACCTCGTGTTTCACGTGAACATAGTACACGTGTTGTTTTAAGTTCTGAAATGCAAAAACTAAAGCTTGGCTGACTGCACGGAGTGATTATTGATACTAACCATCATTAAGATACTCCATCATGCGAAGACGATTCGTTGGATCTTACCAATATATATGTAAATTGACGAATCTGCACATATTCCTTCAGTTGCTTTCTGTATGAATAATTATTCAAGCAAATCAGTGTTTTCGCATAGATTAAGGAAAAACGATGTTCTAACAGATCACAGCTTATGTGACAAATATGATTTACATATTCTTCCAATCCTCAAAACTTTTCCTTTCAATTCATGTTGTCTAATACCAACATTTTAAGTAGTATTCTGATAATTCAGACACATTCTCATAAATAAATCCGATATGTTAAAGTTAACTTTCAAAGTTGAATAACTCTACTAAGTGGGCTTTATTGTTCATTACTGAAACAATACTTTTGGTTAATCCAGTCTGATGAATTTTACTTTATTGTTCATTATTGAAACAATACATTTGGATAATCCAGTCTGATGAATTATACTTTATTGTTTGTTATTGTAACAATACTTTTGGATAATCCAGTCTGATGAATTATACTTTATTGTTTGTTATTGTAACAATACTTTTGGATAATCCAGTCTGATGAATTATACTTTATTGTTCATTATTGAAACAATACTTTTGGATAATCCAGTCTGATGAATTATACTTTATTGTTCATTATTGTAACAATACTTTTGGATAATCCAGTCTGATGAATTTTACTTTATTGTTCATTATTGTAACAATACTTTTGGATAATCCAGTCTGATGAATTATACTTTATTGTTCATTATTGAAACAATACTTTTGGATAATCCAGTCTGATGAATTTTACTTTATTGTTCATTATTGAAACAATACTTTTGGATAATCTAGTCTGGTGAATTTTACTTTATTGTTCTTTGCATGTCTCGTTAATATACTTACTGCCAGTTTGTTAGGTCAGCCGAAGTTAGAAACACTGTCTTATTTTATTTATTCGTAAAAATTGGAAGAAGGTGTTTTGTTTTAGTGAAGAAAGTGTTTAGTTTAGAAGATGTTTTGTTTTAGTTAAGTGATAGTTGCATTTTTCCAAAACAATGTTTTCCTTTGGTGAGTCAGGAGTAAATTTACAGACGTACAAAGCCAGAATAGGGTGTTCCATTCCTTGTTATATCTGAGTGCAGATAGCCCATTTGTTCTTTTACTTTATAACAAAACAAACAGTTAAAGCAAGGAATACTTGACTGCCATCTATGGAGTAGTTAATTAACTAATATTTGAAGCAAAGAGCATGACAGGTTGGATCATACAGCCATCTATTGGCCATTAATGTTAGATGTTGATATTTTTTGGATTCATGTTAAAAGTTTGAATATGCAGGTGCGGAATGTGAAACAAATACGTTGTGATCAGATGCAAACCTAACGCTGCTAGATTTCCAGATTCAAATACGTTGTGATCAGATACTAACCTACCACTACTAGATTCCCAGATTCAAATACGTTGTGATCAGATACTGACCTACCACTGCTAGATTTCCAGATTCAAGTAAGTTGTGATCAGATACTAACCTACCACTGCTAGATTTCCAGATTCAAGTAAGTTGTGATCAGATACTAACCTAACACTACTAGATTCCCAGATTCAAATACGTTGTGATCAGATACTGACCTACCACTGCTAGATTTCCAGATTCAACTACGTTGTGATCAGATACTGACCTACCACTACTAGATTTCCAGATTCAGAAGAATGAAGATCAACAGAGAAGTAATATTCTGGAGATTACCGTCAAGGATCTAGGAACGTTGAAATGACGACATTTGTATTATTCGTTCAATCACATAATTAATTAAATATATTTATTACAAATCACGAACAATGATATTTATTCCGACCAATAATATTGTAATGATTATTAGCAGCTGGACAAGATGTTGTGTTAAATAGTCAACGCTAGATGGCGCTAATAAGATCTATAGTCCTCTATAGTAATAAGACCTTGAACTTCTTGAAAAGGACAACATTCGCCACGCACCGGTATATATAAAAAGTAATATGTGAAGGAGATTAGTGAATCTGCCCTGTGAAGTTTTCGGAAAGAATTTTTATCTCAGTGTTACGGTCTACTAACTAATCAACCACATTCATACGACTGTAGTCTCTGATGGCTAAACGCGCGTACCTATAAAAAACAAAAATGATAATAGTTTAGCAATCGCTCTTTATTTATAGACCGTGTGACACATCGGTGTGTCACAACCGCCTATTATTTATAGACCGCGTGTCACATCGGTGTGTCACAACAGCCTTTTATTTATAGACCGTGTGACATACCAGTGTGTCACAACCGCCTTTTATTTATAGACCGTGTGACATACCGGTGTGTCACAACCGCCTTTTAGTTATAGACCATGTGACACATCGGTGTGTCACAACCCCTTTTATTCATAGACCGCGTGACACATCGGTGTGTCACAACAGCCTTTTATTTATAGACCGTGTGCCCCACCGGTGTGTTACAACCGACTTTTAGTTATAGACCGTGTGACACATCGGTGTGTCACAACAGCCTTTTATTTATAGACCGTGTGCCCCACCGGTGTGTTACAACCGACTTTTAGTTATAGACCGTGTGACACAGACAACAGTTTGGGACACTGTTACTGCTCCTTGGCAAGTTTTGAATGTTTAATTTTATTTACACTTAGTTTATTATGTAGCAGCGAACGTGTTACAGTATTTAAACATTTATTACCAATTTCAAGAAACAGCCTGTTTTAAAATAACTGAAAGTTTTAAAATCAACTCAAAACCTTTCAAGATGAATTTGTATTTTTTTTAATAATGGCGCTGTCTCTAGCTTTGAACAACGCTAAGAAATTGGCTGTCACACTGATAACGCACCCACAGTTTAAGGCGATGGAGAATATGCCAACTCCAGAGTTCAACCTCAAGGCCAACGTTTAATAATCTTCCCAGCTCTCGTCACCAGGTGTGTATAGGCCACTGCAGTAGTATACAGCTTAAATAAAAGCTAGACGAAATGATATATTACTCTCTAGGTGGCGTTAATCACTAAATACTTAGGGAACAATCCAGAAACAACCTTCCAACGATAATCCATGTCTCTAGAACTAATCTTTTAACAACAATCCATGTCTATAGAAACAACCTTCCAACAACAGTCCATGTCTCTAGAAACAACCTTTCAATAATAGTCCATGTCTATAGAAATAACCTTTCAACAATACTCCATGTCTATAGAAACAACCTTCCAACAACAGTCCATGTCTCTAGAAACAACCTTTCAATAATAGTCCATGTCTATAGAAATAACCTTTCAACAATACTCCATGTCTATAGAAATAACCTTTCAACAATAGTCCATGTCTATAGAAACAACCTTTCAACAATAGTCCATGTCTATAGAAACAACCTTCCAACAATACTCCATGTCTCTAGAAACAACCTTTCAATAATAGTCCATGTCTATAGAAATAACCTTTCAACAATACTCCATGTCTATAGAAATAACCTTTCAATAATAGTCCATGTCTATAGAAACAACCTTTCAACAATAGTCCATGTCTATAGAAACAACCTTCCAACAATACTCCATATCTCTAGAAACAACCTTTCAACAATAGTCCATGTCTATAGAAACAACCTTCCAACAATACTCCATGTCTATAGAAACAACCTTTCAATAATAGTCCATGTCTATAGAAATAACCTTTCAACAATACTCCATGTCTATAGAAATAACCTTTCAACAATAGTCCATGTCTATAGAAATAACCATTCAACAATACTCCATGTCTATAGAAATAACCTTCCAACAATAGTCCATGTCTCTAGAAACAACCTTTCAACAATAGTCCATGTCTATAGAAATAACCTTCCAACAATAGGCCATGTCTATAGAAATAACCTTTCAACAATACTCCATGTCTATAGAAATAACCTTTCAACAATACTCCATGTCTATAGAAATAACCATTCAATAATAGTCCATGTCTATAGAAATAACCTTCCAACAATAGGCCATGTCTATAGAAATAACCATTCAACAATACTCCATGTCTATAGAAATAACCTTCCAACAATACTCCATGTCTATAGAAATAACCTTCAACAATAGTCCATGTCTATAGAAATAACCTTTCAAAATAGTCCATGTCTATAGAAATAACTTTTCAACAATACTCCATGTCTATAGAAATAACCTTTCAACAATACTCCATGTCTATAGAAATAACCTTCCAACAATACTCCATGTCTATAGAAATAACCATTCAATAATAGTCCATGTCTATAGAAATAACCTTTCAACAATAGTCCATGTCTATAGAAACAACCTTTCAACAATAGTCCATGTCTATAGAAACAACCTTCCAACAATACTCCATGTCTATAGAAATAACATTTCAACAATACTCCATGTCTATAGAAACAACCTTTCAACAATAGTCCATGTCTATAGAAATAACCATTCAATAATAGTCCATGTCTATAGAAATAACCTTCCAACAATACTCCATGCCTATAGAAACAACCTTTCAACAATACTCCATGTTTCTGGAGATAACCTTTCAACAATAATTCATAGTTTTTAATAATGCTGACTTGTTACCCTATCAAAAAATCTGAAAAGAAATACAGCCTATTCTTGACCTAACACTGGTTGAAAGCGGTCATGGATGAATTTACTTAGGTCTACATCTGACAGATTTCTAAGAGAATCAGAAAAGAAAAGCAGCAACGGTCGTTGAACATTCAACAAATTACTAGTTCCACGAGTTTCGGGACACAATCAGAGCTCACTAGTGTCCGTGAACGTCAACGGTCTTGAAGAAGTCAAGGCCAAAATGGAAATTATACGTCAAGCCAAATGTATTGTGGGAAGACTTTTTTGTTCACATTTTCCAGTGAGAGTACACAGAGATATTATTGGATACATAAAACTAAAACTTTCAAAATGTGTTTCCTGCCCGTTCTTATCCTGTGGCTTCATATAGAAGGGTTAAAGAGAACCGAAACACTATATCGTATGTATGTTTAATTATCAGTTTATTAGATCATCGTGGCTAGAAATAATTATTAATTAATAAAACTCATCTTATGGTTTCGACCAGAAAAACTTATAATAGTTAATTTAAAAGTTTTGGGTCGGATATTTTATTTAGTATTAAAATATTATAGATTACTAATTCCAAGCGGCAGTTTAAATCCTCAGAATTAGATTTTATTTAGTATTAAAATATTATAGATTACTAATTCCAAGCGGCAGTTTATATCCTCAGAATTAGATTTTATTTAGTATTAAAAAATTATAGCTTACTAATTCCAAGCGGCAGTTTAAATCCTCAGAATTAGATTTTATTCTAGTATTAAAATATTATAGATTACTAATTCCAAGCGGCAGTTTAAATCCTCAGAATTAGATTTTATTTAGTATTAAAATATTATAGATTATTATTTCCAAGCGACAGTTTAAATCCTCAGAATTATATTTTATTTAGTATTAAAATATTATAGATTATTATTTCCAAGCGACAGTTTATATCCTCAGAATTAGATTTTATTTAGTATTAAAATATTATAGATTACTAATTCCAAGCGACAGTTTAAATCCTCAGAATTATATTTTTTTCGGACTGTAGTTTGAAGTTACTGTAAGATGCAGTAGTGTGTTATACGATCATTGTTGTTTCACACTGTAGTTGCCAATAATTTTTAGTGTTATGTTGTACTAGAGTTTCGAAATTAAAATGAAATAAAACTGCAACAATAAACCCCGTATTATAGCTGGAAGTGTAACATGTAACATCTCCCTGTTCTACCCCGTATTATAGCTGCAAATGTAACACCTAACATCTCCCCATGCTACCCGTATTATAGCTGCAAGTGTTACATCTAACATCTCCCCATGCTACCCCGTATTATACCTGCAAGTGTAACATGTAGCATCTCCCTGTTTTACCCCGTATCATAGCTGCAAGTGTAACATGTAACATCTCCCTGTTTTACCCCGTATCATAGCTGCAAGTGTAACATGTAACATCTCCCTGTTCTACCCAGTATTATAGCTGCAAGTGTAACATGTAGCATCTCCCCGCTGTGCACGGTTTAACTTACAGTATAAGCTACTTTGAAACCAGTTCTAGGCAGAGATTCGTAATCGCGTTAAAGTTACGTTAGGCTTATGTCGCACCCTTTTTAAACTAACGATACATTTGTTGTTGTTATCCTTCACAGAAATATGACTTCGTTTAAATTCGCGCTCGTTTTCGTCGTTCTTCTCGCACCGGGAAATGCGCAAACATGCCCGAGCCGGGACGAGATCTGGCCGTGCTACTGCTTCGACGGTCCTACCGTAAACTGCTCGACGATACACGACGAAAGTGTGTTGATCGAAGCCTTGAGAGGAGCCGAAGGAATTAACGTAAGCAAGATAATACTTCACAAGTGTAGGCTTAGCTCTCTTCCTCCCTCGCTGTTTGAAAATATAACAGTCAGTCACTTGGAGATGAGACATTCGTCGCTAGAGAGCCTGGCACTAATGAATGATTTTCTCCATCTTTCGCCATCCTTGGTCAGTTTATCGTTTTTCAAGACGAACATAGAGAATTTTTCCACTGACTGTGAGAACTGTACATCTCTAGACTTCCCTGTATTCGAGCAGCTTATATTCAACACTGGAAGTTGTTTGATTTCTCCCTTCGGGGACCTTCACAATTGGGTGACTCTTCGACAGTACGACTGTCGATACGGGGAACTGGGAACGGTTCTGACCCTACCGGACGAATTTTTAGGAAACTTTTCTCAGATAGAAACTGTTAACCTCAACCGGATTGGCCTCACAAATATCAAAAGAAAGCACTTTCCGAAACCTGCTTTACACCTGAAGAAACTGGACTTGAGGTGAGTGAAAATGTAAATGATCGATATCATTCTAAAGTTATCGAAGATCACTTTTTTATTGGCGTCTTAGTTTTCTTTAAAGTTATCATTTTTTTTTACTCTTCGTTTAATTGGAAAATGTAATTCTTCTTTCTTTCCTAAGTTTATCAGTTGTTAATGTCTCGTTAGTTTCCGTGCCCACTGGTAGGACTGCGGTAAGTAGACGGACTTACAATACTAAAATTCGGGGTTCGATTCCTATTGGTGGGCACGGCAGATAGATCATTGTGATTATGTTCTAAACACAAACAAACAAATGTGGATCAGTAGTAAGTTTACGGATTTACAACACTATAATCCTGGGTTCGATTCTCCGTGGTGGACAGAGTGCAGGTAGTTTATTGTGTTGCTTTGCACTAACAAGACAACAAACTGTAGTGTCCCATTATTTGGAAAATATTAACTATTTCAATACATTTTAAACGTGTAACTCAGTGGTTTATTGCTACGTTTTATAGAGCCAGAACTCTGCAAAAATTTATCAGATGTGTGACGTCACCATAAGGGTAAAGGCCTCAGAGGCTAATTTTATTGTTTTTAGTCCATTTCAAGAACACACAACTAAACTTACCGTATTTTTCGGTGTATAAGACGCACTTTTTTTACCCCAAAATTTGATGTCAAAATCTGCT